TTTTTTTTTTTTTTTTCCCTCAGAAAAAAACTGTGTTTGGTCCAGTTACATCTACTGAAGGCCCAATTGATTTGCTACTCCATTATTTCTCTTCCACTAAAACATGTTTGTGGGTTATGTTTTGCTAATGACACTTCTAGGGAGTAACTATCAAAACAATTTGATCAGTTTAAACAATTAGAAAAGTGACTTATGGCAATTCTACTACCTTAGTCCTCACTCTGTTATGGATAGATGATCCCAAACAAAAGTGGTCACTCAGAGCACTCTTAAGATCCCAGTTTTAGAAAGGCAAATAAAACAGAAAAAATCTGTTAATTTGTATAGTGCTGAGACAGACTAGCAGCTCCATAGCAACCCTTTTCCTGGGTCCTGTGCAGAGAAAAAGGACCTGTTAAGCACGAATCTGTACAAAGGATCAAATTAGTCTTTAGCTGGCTAATTTTCATGGAGATGAAAATCTGCCTGAGGTACATTCCAAGCCTTCCAAAAGCAGCAGCTCCAGGTGTGCACTTATAACTGCCCATGACTGCTTATATTTTTTTTATTAAATGTCTATGAACATTTTACAGACAAGGTTAAATTATTCAACTTCATGATCAGTTTTGGTGTTACAATTGCGAAAATCCATGTTAACAAACTGGCTTAGAGAAGGCAGCTTTTGGTTTCCCAAGAAGGATAACTAACGACAGAAAATCAAGTAAAAGGCTGGTTGCCTTATAGTGGGGGTTGTTTTAGTTATACTGATGATAAATAATCAATAATCAAAAGACACAGTTATACATTAACAATTATTCACTATTATCAGTATTAAGTAAATCTGTTCCACTTATCTCTGAGAAACATAAAACCTTTTCCTAGAGCACTGTTCGTGCAATGGTAAGGGCTTCAAATTCTCGATTAAGTTCATTTTTGTGTACTCTTATTTACTCCACTATTCCTTCTCTCCTGTCAGAAAATTATTACATTAAATTTTATTTATGTATTAAGTCATTATTTGTTTAGTATCCTGTATGGATTCTGTACAAAACCAGCAAAAACTGTCGCAGTTTTAAAACTGAAGTGTAAAAATGGATATAAAGTTGACCATCTCCGTGTCTGTCTTAATTTTCCATTTGAGTAAGGGACTTTTCCTTTATAGCTCACAATCATTTTCCTTTATATTTTTTCCTTTATAGCTCACAATCATTCAGGATTTGGAAAATATAACAATTTTAAAGTTTTGTTATAAAAATTATTCAATGAGTTCTGATCCTGTGAGGACACCTAGTGAGCAATTCCATATAGGAACAAAACAGTAAATATTCCTACAACATACAGGATGAACAGACATTTTCATCAAGTCTTCTATTGTAGGCAGATAATATTTTATTTGCATTAGAGCAGCTTTTAAAGCCAGGCAATACTTGCAATAGGCTCCTTATACTCTATTTTATAAGAATACAGAGAAGAGAAATCTATGTCCTGAAAGTTTATACTCTCAGGAAAAATTAGCTCATACATTTTCACAGGCAGTTATACAGCCTCTGGTAATGTAACTTTTACATCCAGTTTGCAATGTTTATCCTGATATTATTCCTGTGACTACCACAGGCCTGTGACTGTAGGCTTTGGCTGGAGCAGGAGCCTTCTGGAGGGGCTGTCTAGAGACTGGGTACACAGAGCCAGCTGCCAGCCAGGTGCACCTGGCACTGTGAGCACTGCACAGAGACACCCTGAACCAGCAGGAAAACCAGATGAGAAGTAGGGAAAGGGAGAAGGAGAAGGTCATGTGTTTTTCACGCAGACTTCACAGGACTTGACAAGTCTATTAACAGAGGAAAAGAGAATGACACCATGACCCAGAGCTTAATCAATATCTGGATTCAGTTAAGAATTGTTTGACATATGCAAGCTTTATATCAGAAGAGTAACTGCATTCAACAAATGATCAGCCATAGAGTACCGTTGCATCATCTTAATGACAATTTAAAGGAAGGAAACAACATTTCAAAGGAAGTCTGTTACATTGTGCCTACTTGTAACATCTTAAAACCTGGAAGATTTGGTTTGGAAGAATACTTCATTCAGCCTCCAAAACCAAAATTTCATTTTGTACACTACATAAATAATGTACTTCTTGAATTGTGTACACAATTGCACTTCCCTTAAGCTCCTTTTGTTCTCTGTAAAGGCAATAACTCTCTCCTTGAAAGACTGCATATAAGACCTTTCTAAATTAGTAAAGCCCCAAACATTGTTTATAGTAGAGGTATTAATTGACAAGGCCTTCAATTTCCATCTAATTATTGCACTAGTCAACTTCTCCAAATCCCCATAAATATTTAAGAAGTTTCCAGGTAATGTAGCAAGCTTAAAGAAAACCAGAAATGAGATACAAAAGGAATTTCTGCTACACATCATGGAATGAGCATAGGGAAACCTGAAAATCCTGTGAAAGGAAAAAGCACAGGTAAATTCTTTAGTAAATTCATTGATTCATTTATGCTTTCAAGAAATTTCCAGTCTAGAAGTGTTAGCTCTGTCACTACACTGGAAATCACCCCCTCGTGTTATAGGAGATAGAAGAGAAAAAAAGTTAGCTTTATGTATTTGGAAAAGTAACTAGGTATTGTTGGAAAAATATATTTCTTAGTCTTTTGTAAAAGCAGTTCTCAGAATAAAGAGTATTGGGTATGTGCAAATAAGCAGAATTTAAGAATGGGCATGGAAATTCTGAAAATATTTTTTTTTCCTAGCATATAAGCATTGAACATCAAATAGGACTTACTGAAATGATTCTCTGAAAATATTTTGACAAAAGTCAGAAAAAGATAGTTGATGCTGATTTGACTTAAGTAATTATGGTAAACATCTGAAGGACAATTGCCATGCTGTGTGATGAGTTATTTTGCAAAAAGCAACCTAAAATAAGTTTATTATCTGGTATTGTTTCTGCTCTGAGCCTTTTTTAATTCATTCATAGTACTCGAAAAAAATTAACACTTGGGAAATGAAAATAATCTATGAAAATTGCTGCAGAGGTACTTCTAGCATGAGTCTTCATGCCAGTAGTCACGAACAGTTGGACCACCCAGAAATAATAACATCATAGACCCATAATGAAGTGAAAAGCAAACATTAGAAAGAATGACAGAGAAAAAGTTATATAATTCTGATATCAACTCCAGCATCCAGTGGGCAAGCCAATTGTCCAATCCATTTTCCTAAAGGGAGAAAAATCCCTGTTGAACACCATCATTTATTCTACCCCTCACAAAGCCTATAACATCTAAAAGAAACCTGACACATTTTAATAGCTATCAAGGACAAGAACTTATCATTCATCAAAATAATTGCCTCCTAAATGGCTGCGAAAAATTCACCCTCGACAATCATTATACAAAATGCATAATATACATAGACCTGCACATAAAAATGCTAATGTCTTATTTTATTCTGAAGTAAAGGTTAAAACATGACCTCTCATTTTAAGTAACATCATTTATGAACTGTTATTTGATGAAAATACTACTTAACATCTCTGTCTAATCTAGTGTTTTAAATTCCCCAGAACAATAAATATGAAGATCAAATAGGCTGAATAAGCAAGGAGTGCTTTCTGTCAGAACAGCCAAACCATTCTTACTTCACTGGCGGATGTAGCCCAGGCTCTCATTTTTCTTACTATTTCTGATTTCAGCATGATCAGACATCCCATTCCAGGTCCAGCTCAGCTGGATTAAACCTTTCCTGCCCTCACTAATGTATCTCCTCGGCTCTGTTTGAATAGGAGTCATGGTGTGCCACCCTTAGACTGTGCAAGTCAGAATGGCATAACTGAAATGACTATAATTATCTGAAGCAGTGGAAAAAGTGCTCCCACCATCTATTTCTTACTAGCAAAGCTGTAGAAGTGTCTAATGCATCTCACAGGGTGAGGGATGGTATCATTTTTAAGCAGAACACAGTACCTTGGAAGTGAAGCAGTTCAGGTAAGTGGAGCTTAATTTAGGCACATTGCTTTGCAACTACATCTTTGCTACTTCCAGTGTAGGCTCAGATAACTTTGCACGAGGCAGAACCAGGGCCTTTCTGCAGATTTCTGCACCCCATTCTTACAATCAACAGTGCTGGGAAGCACAGTGTGTGAGGCTCTGCGTGGGGTGACTGAGGCCAGTAGAGATGTCTAAAATCAGCCATGCCATCTCTCAGGTGGTGATTTCCAAAGCCTGCCTGAAGCCTGTTTCTTCATCTTGCTCCCTCACAACTCTATGTCCAAGAGTTTGTTTAAGCAGGTCCAGTCACAAAACAATGCAAAGATCCAGCTTGTGTTCACTGCCTCATCTGCTTTTGCACTTCTCTTTCAGAGCACTGATGAGTAGACAAAAAGGTGTGGCCTTTCCTCCTTATGGTAGAAGTCAGCCTACACCTAAAGCAGCTGATGTTGCACTGGATCTGAACCAATTTGTTGTGACATCACCCTGTTGTAGCAGGGTTTTTTTCTTGACTCAAGGGTGGCCCTGAGTTTACCATTTGTGTTGGCAACTCTCCTAAGTAAATCCACACCTGTTTTTATGAGAAATTTTATATTCATGTTATTTTTCAGCATCAGTTTATCAAACTAGTCACTGCAGTATGGCCATTTTTACACATCTGACATCCCACCTCCATTTTATTTGCCATTTCTGCACTTTTCACTACAGCTGAAACACCTGAGTATTCACCATCCATTGGAGGTAGAAGAATAAACAGTAATCCTTCCCTGGCTCATTTCCAAAGCTGAATGCATTTTCTCCATACTAGAAACCATACTAAATTATGGCATAAAAAGATGGGATGCAAACACCAACCTTCAAAGCAACTTAAATTTATGTTTATTGCAGTCATTATTTATTAATGTATTGATCTTAGACTTTCACTAATTTCAATTAAAATATCTTACATTCAAGAAACGAAGGTTATGTAAGAGCTGTAATTTACTCATTGCCAATGAACTTTAAAAAATTTTAGTACCAACTGCAGCTGAAAAAATACATACAAAATTCAATTGCCAGGGAAAATAACCATGTTGGATTATGAAGGACTTTTATTTGTTGGTGTCCATAAATAAAAATATTTTCATCAACATAAAAATCCAGTGTGTTTATCATAACTCACTTACTATGTTTTCAGACCCCTGTAGATATTTTCCCCTATGATGTAATATTCTTCCTGTTTTGTTTGTTCTTGACACTGCATCATTTTTTTCATATAAACTCAATTGCAAGTTTTTTCGCTACTCATTATAGTTAATTTTCCTGGTTAGCTTGGAATCTGAGCTCATGCTTGAATCTGAAGAGAGTGATCTGGATCACATGTTTGGAGAACAGAAGTGTGAAGAGGAGAGAGGAAAACCTAAGGAAAATCCTTGAACTTCAGCATTTTGCTTTCATCTGTATATTTTACCATATTTATGTTCTGTTGCAGTAAAACAAAGTACTCACAGGAAACAGAAATGGTAGAATCATGTACTTCTAAAAATTGCTAGGTACTAGATATAACCACAAGAACACACAAAAAACCCACCATATTCTTAACACTGAGCATGGAAACCTAGAGCATTTATCACTTGCTGGCAAAGTGGCACAAGAAAAATCACAAGTTTGAGTAAATTTTTCAAAAAAGAATAGTCACACATTGATTGAAAAGCTGGACTTTTTGGTTTTGTAGAGAATAACTCTGAACGCTTTTTATGGTTCAGAGAGTAAACAGAAAAATGAAACACCCTTGAGAAGCCATATTCCAAATGAAATTTTGTTTTTAATGGACTAAGATTTTATTTTAAACTAATTAACATTTAAGCTCCTTTCAGGTTTTTGAGTAAAGTGAAACACAACTTCTCAAAACAGAAAAGAGTTGATTCCAAGAAAAGTCAAAGAATCCTGTTCTGTAAATGTAAAAATAGAAGGGAAATAAATTGGGGTTTTTTCCTGGTCTTTTGTCTAAACAAGAATTCTATGAAATGTGCATGCTTTCACAAAGTGTAAAACAAAACCAACCTTTTTTATGGTAAAACCTTCTGCCCAAAAGTTTCTGATTTACCCTAATCATACTGTTTTTAAATGAAAGGTAAATTAACAATCAACCACATTCCAGATTTTCAGATTTATAGAGACACCTAAATGCACAGATAGTCCTCTACTGGAATACTTTAAAGTACATAAATGCACATGATGCTTTTGAAAAGGAGAATTAACTATCTAATGCTTTCTGACACTTCTGAGAAATTAATTCAACTCTAATTTTGCTGTAACATTTTGAGTTAACGATTTCCTTCTTTCTCACTGAATATGCAGAGATTTCTCATTTTGCACTCAACAGTTTAATTTTTTAAATTATATTTTGTTTAAAGAAAAATTGTTTGGGGAAATCCTGGCCACTGTTTCCCAAAACAGAAGGTAGGAAGGCTTCACTGTTCATGTTGAACTGTGTTTTGTCATTCCTACTTGACCATAAAGAGTCACATCAGTAGCTGCACTAAAGGATTATTAGGGAAAGATTGGGATATCAGTGCAGTTGGCTCTGTTGTATTCCTGGCTACCTTGTTTTTGCTAAACAAGTAATCCATCTGTTGTTATCTTCCAAAACAGAGGAGAGTTAGGGAGCTGCAGTTGTCACAAACCCTTTAAGATGGCTACCCTACATACCATCCCAAATACTGACAACTGACAGAAAATACTTCCAGCATTTCTAAAATAGCCAGCTCTCTTAATCTACATCCAGCTTTCACTTCTGCAATATTTCAGACTTGCTCAATATTTTTGAATGCAGCAAAAGTATGTTATTCTACAATTTTCTGTAGTATAATGAATACCAGAGACAGTGAAGCAGAACAAAAAAGCAGAGGAAAGAGGAAGAGGGAATGTGTATAGCTATTATAACCAAGTTTCAGGAAGAGATTATAGTACCTACATCTGTACAGGCCTCATTTACCTTACTGACCTGTATACTTTGGTATATAAATCAGTCACGTTGTTCACATTTCATCATCATTCTGCTGGTCTGCACAGCTCCACCACTGTGTTACTATCTTGTTTCAGACAATCAAATCAGTACACATACTGACATCTGCACCAGCTGTCATAATCCAACATTTCAGCTTACAGCCTGCAGTTTCACCAGAGGCATGCTTTCACCTCTTCAAGACAAACTACTTCTGTTTTTTCATTTGCATTCATTTACCTTTCTCAAAATAAGAGTCACGGTCACCAGCAACTGGAACAAATTTTGAGCTGGGTCTGTGACTCCCTTCTTGGGTAGAATCCCTGAGCTGCCACACAGAGGATGCTGTGCCACAGGTGCTTTAGTTTACCAAGCTGATGGCTTAAGAGCACTTCTGCACATGGGGCCGGAATGGAGAGATGTTCTCCCAGCACACACACTGAAATGTTTCACCGAGAAGGGCTTCTAAGAGAATTATTAAGGGTTCAGGATTTCAAGTGCCAAAATAGTGCCTAACTGCAGTTTGTTTTTGAATGCAACTACACAGGTACAGCCCACACTGCAGACACTCACACTCCCACATCCCAGAAAACAACAGCAAAGAGAGGAAAAACAGAGTTTGCAATTTGTCAGACAAAGATTGCATGGTATAACTTAGGTGTTAAAAGCCATAAATAGCTCAAGTGTCAAGCAAGTGGCACAGTGTCATCTAAAATCTCAGCAGTGCTGCAGATCACAGCTTCACCTATGACTTGCTGCAAGCACCTCCAGCCCTATCCTAGCACAGCAGCTAAACTGAAAGTTGCAGGCCTTCAGAAGTGTTATCTGATCTCATCTACATCTCCTGCGAAGGATGGCCTCTCCTGATCAGAAACAGAGCTCTTTGGTCCCCTTTGCACTGACCCAGCCCTTTTACACAAACCTCTGCAGTGACGTTACAGCAAGGATTGATGGAGAGCAACAGCTGAGAAAAGTAGCCTGAGTAAATACCACATAGTCACACCCAGGTTACTTGGATTTTTATCTCCACAAAAACAATCCTCTATCTGCTGCCCTTTTCTTATATATATGTCCCATTTACTTCTCTTTTTAAGTATATGTATGAGAAGTTTCACATTTACTATAAAATCTGACAGACTATTTGCAGTGCCTCGATACAGAAATAAATGCACTATAAACATATTATTCTTATTGTAAGTATTACACTGTAATTCTTAATGGGATTAGGCAAGTCAGCAAGTTTTCAATATTGCTGGGAAAAAAAATGTACTTTTGCCTGCAAGCTCTCAAAAATAGCTAGGAGAGAAGAATGGAATATTAGATAATTCTATTATTAGAAAACAAGGCTAATCATTCTTGTACGATGAGCTTCCTATTGAGACTACTTTAACACATTTTTTCTGCTTGATACTCAGTATAGTTACTAAAGAGCTAGTCTTCAATTATGCAGGTTTTCTTTCTTTAGTTCATAGCTTCTGAACAGCTCTAATTAAAATTAAAGTATAATTTGGAAATCCTGTAATTAAATAATTATTTGTTCTCTAAGATAACTGGTCATTTAAAGACCTGTGTATGAATTTCTTCTTAAATCACAAAATTAATAGTTTGTAACTGCATGAACACCGAGCTTGTCAGTCATCAGCATGTAAACTAGAGCGTGGTGATTTAAAACAAGCTGGGAATTAAACCACAGATAAGCTGCTCCCCTTTCTCCCACTGCCCTCTGGTGAGGGACAAACAAAGGCAGAGATAACAATTTAATTAAAACAAACAGCAATAGAATAAGAAATGTACAGTAACAGCAACAACATTATAGTTATCTTAAAGAACTAATAATTATTAGTTCACCCCTCCACTGGTGTGACTCCACAGAGCACTGTCTGCTCTGGACTGCTCTGCTCTGTTGAGCTTGGGCTTGGCTTTGCTTGGCTCCTCTTGACTTGCCTTTGCCGCCATTTCGTTCACCATGGCTGCCTCCAGCACTGGCACTGCAGAGCATGAGCTCCACTGGGCTCAGATGTGTTTACTACTTGGAGTTACATTCTTCCTGAGGGACGGGAATGGGCAGGTGGCAGTGGAAGCAGGACAGAGTCAGCAGCACCTATCCAGGCAATATCCCTGAGGAAGAAACGAAACAAAATAGCACATTTCCTTTTTTCCTCATGAAACCACTCTCTCAGAGATGATGTAGGTGGTATAGATTAGCAACCTGGGACCAGCCGGGTGCAGGAGGACCTGAAGGTCCCATCAAGGCCCTGACAGTAGGAGACGAAGGCACAGCTGGGCTAGAGAGATCATGGTTGGTCTGGAACAGATCTTGGGCAATTCCTCTCTCCTTTGGGCTCAGTGGGAAGGAAAAACGACCTACATACCAGGTACAAGGTATGTGCATCATCTTGGGAAGAAATGTCTCTTTGCACTGGGGATAGGTAAAAAAAATTCATCCCAGTTAGAGAGCTTGTCCATGCAAAAAAGAGTATAACAATGTGAGCAGGACACAGCTGCAGATCACATCATCTCCATGAGAAAAGGGAGAAGGAAGTGTCTCCTACCTGGGTACAGTCACGGTGGAATCAGGCATGTTTGAAGAAGAAGCACAGTGGTTTAGGAGGTCCTGTCCTCTGTCAGCTCCATGAAGATGATGTGTGTGATATCCCCTCCTGAAGCACCTCCACAGTCTGATGCATGTGGTGGTCCCAGCAGACTGAACTGAACAAAAACGTGGAAAAGATGAGCAAGGGCAAAGTGTGCAGGTGGCCATCCACAGTTCTGGGCAAGGCTTTCCCAAAAGCTGGAGAGGCCATTGGGCACATGTCCCTCTTGCCACTCCTTTTCTCACAGTGTGACCCCACCCAAAGGACTCAGTATGGCTGAGCATGACACACCAAAAGGTCTCAGCAGATACTTCTATGAAAACACCAGGATTTGCCTCCCAAGGCTTAGGCTCATCTCCCACAAGTTCTATCTACTAAGAAACAACTCATCATCTTCCCCAGTGCCTACTTCCACAACGAGGAATGGACTGGTTCCCTCTCCAGAAGCACCTCACTGATACAGACCCTTCTATGGGTACTGGAAGACAGAAAATCCCAGGACTTCCTGGCAGTGAGATTGAGTCAGTGCAAAATCTGCAGAATTTAAACCTTCTGGGAGTTGAGATACCTCCCAAGATGCCTGGGGAAGCTGTCCTGCCCTCGTACCAGAAGCCTCCTTTACTAAACACAAGCCAGACTCTACACCTGGGTTTCTGAGGAGCTCCCACCTGCCCTCCTCCACCCAGCCCTACAGAACCTGTCCTGCCATCTGATTTCAGGGAGCTGCAGGGTAGATGCTCTCACAATCCTCTCTTGACTTGGAAGCCTTCCCCTTCATAGCAGACATGCTGCAGATCAGTGCCAACAACTACTCCGCCAACACTGAGGGAAAAGCAGGAGCTAGGGATGACTCCAGGACCTCTCAACAAGACAGAGAAAGTCTCCTTAAGGGAGTCTCCAGGGTGCTGGTGAGCAGGAGGTGGCAGTCTGGCTGGGGAAGGTGTTCCCAGGGCTCACAAATAAAGTGCTTGTGCACAGCCCTCAGAGTGGTGGCATCACAGCTGGCATCTGTCCACTCCACCACACATCGCACTGCTACTGAAATGGCCTCACTGGGTTGACTCTAGCTTCACACTGTGATCCAAACCAAGGTTCTCTCCAGCATTCCCAGCCTCTGTTGGCTACTGTTCCATCACTGTCCTCATCTCCCTCAGTCCCTCCCAGCCTCCTTGCCCCCACCAACCAGGCAGCACCCGGGTGAGCCAGAGGAGGGTGAACAGGGAGCAGGGCTCACTCTGCTCCATCCCTAAAGGCTTTCCCTAGCATTCAAGCTTGTTCCAGGCTAGGCCAGTGCCATCAGATCTGGGACACTCCTTCCCATAGAAGCTCAGCATCATCCTAGGAAGACTCTGTCCCTCTTTCCACCCCTTTGCAAGGCTTTCAGCAACTTGAGCAGACCCTGTCCAGGTATTCATCTTCATCAAGGATGTGGGGAATTGTGCCTTTGGAGATCTATCCCTTCTCTTCCCACTGCTCCCAGCCTCCCCGATACAGGTATCATTTGTCATTGCAGACAACTCTTCACAAACTGGCTTCCTGCAAGGAAGAGAAAGACATGATCCTCCACCAGTCCTGCTCTTGGTTCAGCAAGCACCTGTCCAGGAGCTGGGACAGGGTTTGTGGCAACCCTGCAAGCAAGCCTGTCCCTCCTTTTCCCCAGACAGCCCCTCTCCTTGGGGACAGCCTGGCTGCAGGGACTGTGGGCCCTTGAACCATTCCACTCTCTTTTAGGTGTGGTAGGAGAGAAGAAAGTGTGAGGTATGAGGTTCCCCATGCACATCATCTCAGGATGTGTTATGTCTTATAGCCTTTGTGGGAGGACAAGCAAAAAGGCTCATTTCCTATCTGGAGAGCTTAGAGCATCTCTCCAACATTTATAACAACCTGACATATCTGGAGAAGAGGGACAACTGAGAGGAGCAAAACCCTGCTCTGCTATGCCCTTGAGATGTGATTTTCTTCACTTTATGCCAGACATGTCTGTTTAAAAATAGTAAAGGCAACAACCTGCTGTAGTAGAGATGAAACTCTGTAGGAGAGCTCATCTACACAACACAGGTTTATTTGGGAAAGTTATTCTCAAGTAAAAGAGCATATGAACTTTCAGTGCATTTTTTTGTTTCAGATTATCTGCCCACAAGAACAGCCTTAGCAAACAGTACATTTACAAAACCATGAAATGAAGTTGCCCATACTAGTTGACAAGCACTTCACTGCAAATTTGTTTATACATTATAAATTTACATTTTAGGAATTGTAAATAAGTTCTTTGCTACAGTGCATCACTATGAAACAGATTAGGAAAAGCTGTCTTTTCTAATAACAACTCTGTCACACCATTCTAGTTTTCATAAACATTTGCCATTATTTTGTAGTTTGACTCAAAACTTTGTCAATTCCTTTCACTGAATTTAATGAATTCTGCATCAGGATTTTAATGACCATTTTATTCACATATGCATCTACTCATAAAAAAAAAATAGAAAAACTGCAATTCAGCTAAGTCTCTCCCAGCAGAGAAACCAGGCTTTCAGCTTTGAAAATGCCCGATGCCTGGTTTTTTGTGTGTGTGTGTGTGTTTTTTTTTTTATTGGTGCTGACCTGCTCTAGAAAGTCACAGCCTCTGCTTGCTGCTCTCAGCCTGGGGCCCTCATTTTTTTTCCTAAGAGTAAAGGCACTTTACCTTTTTCACTCTCTGCAAACAAAGTATTGTGCCCATTTTGGGAGGGGGTCAGGAAGGGCCAGAGGTGAAGAATGTCTCATGAAGCCAGGTGTGGCTACTTTTTAACTTTTCTGTTTGAACTCAAACAGATAGCAGTGGTAAGCCTTTTTCCTTTTGCGACAAAAAGAATTTACTGACTCAACAGAGTGAATAGAAGGAAACATACTGTAAAATATAACTGCTTGGAACAGTTGAAAGGTTCCACAGAGTTTACTGTCTTCTTCTGAATGCCATTTTGTATGAAAGTACCTCAAAATCAGGAGAGGAAAAAAAGTCTGGACAGGAAAGGAGCTGTTATTCAGGGCTTGTGCCACTCATTACCTGTATTATTGCATGCACATATGCTGTCACCGCCGAGACCCGGGTTTGATTCCCGGTCAGGGACACTCCCCAAGCAGATGGAGCTCGTTAACCCTTAAAAAGGCAACCCATCTACGTCCTAAGGACCTCGCTGCCACCGTCCAAGCTCGCTTGGCCCCGGCAGATGAACCTTAGGATTAAAGGGTGGGCTCAGTTCCACGCACGCTGTGTCTCACCTAAAAAATCCAATGCACAGGCTGGAAGGTGTAAAGACCTTCCCTGGATCTTCGCTCGCGAAGACTGGCCATTATTATTATTATTATTATCACATATGCCTGGACATGGGGATGTGCTTCTGCACATGTTCATATACATGTACATTTACATTTGTGATGTATGATAATCTCAATTATCATTTTATTACATATACACCAGTATGTGTAACACCTCCTCTCAACAGTTATGAGAAATGGAGGCTGCTGATGTAGCCAGTTTGCTACTGGGGAGTTGTTCCACTTGAGATTGCCTACTGCCATCTTCTGGTGATCTGTCTTATAGTCATACTTCATAAGAGTCACCTTTTGAATAAGATTACTTAAACCATCATCTTAATACACATTGACATTTTCAGAGCACATTCTGCATGCACACCAATTCCAGTATACTTTTTTTCCCTAATATCACATGAAATGGCTCAGGTTGCATCCTTCTTTTCAAGACCTGGTCCACTGCCAACTCAAATCCAAATTCAATTTTTGTCCATATGAGCCAAGCGCTGGCTTGAGGGTTTAGATAGGGTGGGATGGAAGACACAATAGATAACTTGAGCTAATATTATTTCTACCCAGGTATGCTCTTACAGTAAGCATAGTAGATGGCCCGGGTATACCATGACTTACCAAGGAGTCTCCATACCAGCCTAGACCACCTCAATCTGCCGTTGTGGCAAAGGTACACAGACAGTGTTACAAAAGAAGACCATCACAGTGTCCCAAAGTATGAAACATCTTTTGTGCTGAGTCATAGGCAGCCGATGCTCAGTAGTGTCTACACAGCACTGTGCAGGGCATTATACTAGTCCTGCATCCCACCTCTCACAGTGTGCTCATACAAAGTTCAGGCAGGTTTAATGCTGAGTTGGAACCTGGGTTTTTTTAGCCTTATAAAATGCAGTATAGTTAAGAGTGCAGTACATGTGTAGCCTGTGCATAAGTAATGTGAAAGTACTGACATATTTCTCACTGAAATTAGAAGCACATTACCCAGAATTTTCTTATGGCCTTCCAGGGTGTATTGCCTCTGTTTAATTTGTTGAAAATGACAAATCTGTTATAATTTGGCATAGACTTCAAAAGAAAATACATTTCTGAGATATATTTTGTAAGGCAAAAAGTATTAACAATACTGAGACTAATTTTAATTCATTTTCTTAACCACTCAAAAAGAAAATTCACTTTCAATTACACACCTAGAAAAGAAAGACTAATAACTCACCTTTCCACTCTGAAACTACTATCTAGTGAGAATCCCACAGCAGCAGCCATAACATTATCTTCCTCTATGCAATATAGCTGCCATTCTTCCCCCACTAAAATGAGCAAAGACAGCAGTGAATTACAATTTACTGCATTCTTTCAGGCCCAAGAAAAGTAAACTGAAAAAACTACAAGTTCAGATGCAATGATAGGCCACTTGCATTCATTGCATTTTTACAAAGAGGTTTCCCAAATTATCTTCTAAAACTCATGGTTTTTCTTCCAAACAGTAGTATTGATCCTGCAAATTCTTGGCTTGAATATTGTGTGCAGTTTTGGTCTCCACAATATAAAATGTTAAGCTATTGGAAAGCGTCCAAAGGCTGGCAACAAAGATGATAAAGAGCCTTGAGGGGAAGCCACATGAGAATTGACTGAGGTCGCTTATTCTGTTAAGCCTGGAGAAGAGGAGACTGAGTGGAGATCTCACTGCAGCCCACAACTTCCTCATGAAAGCAAGGGGAGGGGCAGGTACTGATCTCTTTTCTGTGGTGACCAGTGACAGAACATGAGGTAATGGCACAAAGCTGAGCCAGGGGAGGTTTAGATTAGCTATTAAAAAAGGTTCTTCACCCAGAGGGTGGTTGGGCATCAGAACAGGCTCCCCAGGGAAGTGGTCACAACACCAAACCTGACAGAGTTCAGGAAGTGTTTGGATGACACTCTCAGGCACATGGTGTGACTCTTGGGGATGGTCTTGGTCAGGGTCAGGAGTTGGACTCTGTGATCCTTGTGGGTTCCTTCCACATCAGCATAATCTGTGATTTTATGATTTTATTATAGCAGTGCATAATTTAGTTCACTTTCACACATTTTTCACTTCCTTTGCTATGGCAGTCTGGTACAGCAATCTTCTAAATCTGATGTCTGAAGACATAGAGTCTTCAGCAACAGGTAGAAATTTAATTTTGGAATTGACTACGTTCCTGCTAAATGTGGCCAGTTAGGAAAAACTTGTACTTTCTGTCAGGAATCCTGTCCCAAGGCCCTGACTTCCTCTTAAAAACAACCTCACCCATACACCCAATCTATCTGAAACTCAAAAAAGTGGCTGATACTAGAGTTCAGCTGATAACACAGTGTGAAAAGTGTTTCATTTACTTTTGATCTGTTTTATTTACTGCATTGAATTTCTCAATTTGTCACTTCAATGTCAAATCTCTTTATTATTGTCCTTCTTTGTAAGCTACAGCCAGATATGTTGCTCATCCTAACTCCAAGGTGAACATAAAATTTTTTCAAGAAGTATTTTACAAAGCTATTTAAATTTTTTATCTACTTCTTTTACAAAGAAGGATATCTTGAAGATGTAAGAAAATCAGTTACATTTGTCTTTTATAAATTTTGACATACTGCTAACTCTGAGTGCCTTACTTTTCTCTCACAGACTGTCCATCTCACTGCCACAGATTGTCATATTCTCTCTCTGGTTCGATCATTAAACTAGAGATACACTAACATTATGCAAATGTTTCCTGATATTAGAGGTAAATAAACTTTAAAATTTCATAACAGCTAAGGTCTGATCAATACCTTAAGATACCTGCTGCAAAACAACTGCAAAACCCAATGTAATTTTCCCAAACGGAAAATAGTTTCCCGCTTCTTTTCAGAAGGTACCACTTTCCTTTGCTTTTCAATGGAGTAAACAAAAGATCTGCTTTGCCATCATTTCAGTGGCATAACACATCCAAAATAGAGAATGAAAATGCTTTAACACTCAGTTGATATGTGTATGTATGTAACTTACTCTTCTGTAAAAGATTATTCATAACTCCCTATTCCCTTATAGAGCTTCAAATAGGAATATTTGCTTTAGTCCTTTTTTTATAAAAAGTCATCTACTGCATTCTGTATTAATCAACCAGTGCACCTGTTTCCCAGTAACACATGTAGTATTTTAAAGAGGAAGGAAAAACCTACGTGCAACTTACTAGTGGAACAGTGATTCTTAGAGTCACTAATGACAAAATATTTTTAACTGCTTTTACAAACCCTTAGAAAAAACAAAATTTCTTTAGGTCAGAAAGGACATTTAGAAGAAAGATTTGAAGAAAAAGAAAAGGAAACGACAATTCATTTTTTAAAGAATGCAGTTAGTTCTGATCATGCAGTTTGAAATTTTACAGAATCATAGAATCAGATGGGTTGGAAAGGACCTCTGAGATCATCAAGTCCAACCCTTGATCCACTACCACCTTCAGTTATTAGGCTGTGGCACTAAGTGCCAGATCCAATCTCTTCTTAAATACCTCCGGGTACAAAGAATCCGCCACCTCCCTGGGCAGTCCATTCCAATGCCATTCCAATTTCTGTGATCTACTGTGCAAATAAATCCTTCATCCACTTCCAATTTTCATTAAAAAATCTAACATGGTCCCTGAATTGTGGATGAGAGCAATGCTAAATGCTGACATTGGAAAGACAATAAGACACCAGCCATTTCCTGAGCACTGTGTGGTAGATGAAAAGCTCTAAAAATTTAACTCCACAGAGCCAACCACAGAAATAATAAATATTCAGGTTTAAAAGACTGAAAAAAAAATAGATCTACACTATCCATAATTTAAAAATTACAAGCAGAAGAGAGAATAAGATAGTCCTTATTATTTAAGTCGCTTTATCAATAGTGAGTCATAACTGGTTACATCTGGTTTCAGTGTTTAAATGTGAAGATAAAAACCTTTTAAGTATCTATTTCTGTTTGAAGTTCAAGAGAGGTTAAACTAAAGAAAATCCACAGTGAATATTACAAGGAAATGATCCAAGAGAGAGGTTAGACCTCTCTTCATTCTGATTTAAGTTTGATGATGCACTATACACGATGAGGGTACCACTATCTCACAACCCATCAGCAGGTAATTCATAAGGAGGTCAAAGAAAGGAAAAGGCCATAGAATCATGCATAATTCAGCAACTTCATCAATAAACAATTCTTCAATAATAAAAAAGAGCACTGAAAGAGGCACATGATGCTGGAGAAAGGGAACCAAAATACCACCAACACCATTTGCAAGCAAATTTCAACTTTGTGTGTATAGAAAAACTAGATAAATCATTCCCAAATTTCATCAACAACCATGATAATCATGCATGAAAATACAGACACACCTATACTTTGTACACTACACTTGATCCACTTGGGTAGGATGATACCACAAAAATAAATAAGCTAAATAAATGATAAAAAGAAAAATATGGGAGAAAAACCCAGTAAATAAATATCTGGCTACCTAAGTCTTGACAAATTTAGCTTTAGTAATGTAAGAGTCAACATTAAGAACACAAAAGCAAAACCCACAAATAGCAAAACTCTTCACAGAAGCACATGGCTACAATGGTCTAATCGGACCTGACATAGCTATTCTGATTCTTGAATTCTGTCATAGTGCACAAAGGATTTCTCCCTATTCTGTGTCATGGTCTACCAGACCTTTTTTTTTATTACAGTGTGGCAAAATTAATATTTCTAAAAGCTGTTACTGCCAATTCTTATTTCAAATTACTGGAGAGCAGAGCATTTCTTGAATTTAATGTCAACAAAAACTGTAATTCCAAACAGATTTATAGTAATGTTGGGGTTTAACCCCAGCTAGCAGTCACTCAATTACTCCTCCACCGGTGGGATTGGGAAAGGTACCAGAAGGGTAAAAGGTAGAAAACTCTTGGGTTGAGATAATGGCAGTTTAACAGGAAGAGCAAAAGACGTACCTGCAAGGAAAGCAAAACAAGGAATTGATTCACTGCTTCCCATGGGCAGGCAGGTGTTCAGACATGTCCAGAAGAGCAGGGCCCCACCAAGCATAATGGTTACCTGTGAAGTTAAATGCCAACACTCCAGTCATCCCCCCTTTCTTCCTTCTTCCCCTGCTTTATATAATGAGCATGATGTCATATGGTATGGAATATCCCTTTGCTCCATTTGGGTCACCTTTCTCAGCTGTGTCTCCTCCCAGTCTCCCATACACCCCCAGCGTCCTTGCCAGCATGTCAGAATGAAGAGCAGAAAAGGCCTTGGCTCTGTGTAAGCAAGCACTGCTCAGCAATAACAACAACATATCTATATTATCAGCCCTGTGTTCTGCACAAATCCAAAACACAGCCCATTCAAATCCAGAACACAGCCCCTTACCAGCCACTATGAAGAAAATTAACTCCACCCCATCCCAAACCAGCACAAGTAAGTAACACTCTAATGCATAATACTATAAATAACTATCGATGTGCAACATCCTTCAACATATAGGTGTATTTAAATTTTTTTTAACATCTATAGACATTCCTTTTTAAATGTTAGAGGCACTAATCGTGAATAAACAAAAACTAAATACAGAATTATCTGATTTTGTTTTAACTTTTATACAAGTTAACTATATCCTTATATCATACCATTCAAGTATCTTCAATTTCCTTAAGAATAAATCTACTGAAAGGTACCTAAAAGTAGAAAAAATTAGAAGCTGAATGGAAAAGTGGCTTGAAGAACCAGGCCTGAGCATTAGAGTAAATACAATGTAAACACATATAATTGTACACAAAAATAGGTAACATTTGGGATTTTTTTGCAGGTCACATTTAAAATATAAGTATTTAAGAAATATCAAAAAACTAGCAAAAGCATTACTTTCCCCCTTGTCTTTTTGAAGAAAAAGGTTTGACCATTTTAATAATGGATTTATATTTAGATTAAACAATTTTTGTCATTTCAAGAAGCTATTCCATTTAAATTGCAACACATACTAAATGTCCTAAGGATAACTGAGCAACATTTATTTTTTCTGTGCATTGAAAAATACATATTATTTCTAGATAACTTAAGTTCTTTGCATAATTTCAGAGCAATATTTAATATTAAAAACATAAAACTCATAATTAGATAATACAGTTAGAAATTAAAATCTATTCTTTAAAAAGCAATACATATTAATTAAAGAAAACCTTAGAAGAATCTCTCAGGGTTGACTTAATTTCTTAATCACAGCTTCTAATTTTCTAGGGTTTATTATTTTCTTTTATTTCTTTTTTTTTCTTTCTTCTTGGGAAAACAGTGTATTTAACCCCAGCCTTTTGAGGTCATTTCACAAAAACGATGTCATTCTCACCATCATCTGTCCAGCCAAAGTAGGCATTTTTTCTACTGGTATGTCTGTCAGTGTTGACTGAGGATGATTACAGATTTGATTCAATAGATGCTTGGTAGAGGAGCTTTTCCCAATCTCTGGCTCAGCCTCTGGCTCAGCTAACCATTGCTTCATAACCTTCAATTCTTTCATGCTGGTTTTGAAATTAGCTGACATATTTAAAGTAGTTTCATCTTCGAAAGCATTCATCTCCAGAGCTGAGATTGATCTTTTAATCAAACTTGTCTGTTAAAAAAAAAAAACTTAATTTATTCAGATATTCATTTGAAATAAGATTCATATACCATATTTCCTTAGTTTTAGTGGACTGAATTTTATTTTATATAAAGTTGTAAAGAAAGAAAAAAGAGTGACATGGGGACTAAGCTGTTGAAAAAAAAATTTGTATTTAATGGGAAAAAAGATCTGCATATCTCAGGATATGTGTCAAAGCAAAGGGATCTGAAAAATTAATTCAAAGTTATCTGAAGCCCATAAAGGGCTGAAATCAGTCTTCCCTAAAAATTATCACAAGAAATTTAAATTAAATTACCCCAGACCTTGTAGGGAAGTTAAATTTTAAAATTAAAAATGCATTCCACTGCTGGTGACATTTACAAAAAAATAAACTTCAGGATATTCATGAACCCAGAAGAAATGACAGGAGAACTCTGTATAATGTTTAGAAGTATAATTATATTATATGGAAACATAGTTAATATCTGAATGTAATTATGCACTCTTATACTTTGTGCCTCCATCCCTTAATCAACTGATGAAATCAAAACCTAAAGAATAACTGTTATGCTCTGGTGTTTAATTGTTATTAATTATTAAGCAAGTATTTTTTGCAATAACAAATGTATTGCTTCTCAGATGTTTTGTGAATTCCAGTTCGCTAACCTGTACTATAATACTAGGTATAACACATCTTTGTCAAATAAGTTAAAATGCAATTTCATGTCAACTGCCTGAAACGTACAGAGAATCATTTGTTACTAAATTAAGATAAATGAAAAAAATAAATGAAGTATTGAATAACTTTTAATTAGACTCTGACAGATTATGGGAAACTGAAAGGTCCTTGATTTAAAGTAAGCACAACAACTAAAACACCAACGCTCAATGTCATATATTCCTGTAACCATATAAGTATGTAAATTAAAACACCTATTAAATGGAACATTTCCCTTGTCTCAACACATTGTAATATGGCAACACTGACACCTACTGGTATTAGTCAGGTTTGGGGGAGCTTTTCTGCAAACAATCATGAAGTTTCTTGTGCATTCATGGAATTAAAAAGTGTTACTTCTGTTAGTTGCAATTCCACTGTCAGAGGTATATATGCTAAAGTGAACTTGATTCTCGTTTCTGCTAATTGCAATGTATTTCCATATAAAGACTTATTTAAATTATCAGAATACTGAGTAAGTGGGGGTGTCTCAGCATAACTGAGAACCAGCCATTTGATTTGACAAACAAAATGCTTTCTTGAAATTCATTTGGTCATTAAAAAGGAATTCTTAAAATGCAGGAATTATTCATAAGTTGTAGTTCTTACACAGTGAAAAATATTGCAGACCTGGGAGTAGTTTTTGAACTCTTTTTAGAAGGTTTCATTCTTCAAATGGAAGCTTTGATCTATTTCTTAAAGAGAAAAAGAGCAAGAACTGAAATCCAAACTTCTGACAAGCATTTGGCCTTCCTAGTTTTTCTTTATATTGAAGCATTTTGTGTTGTATTGGATTTCTGTGGCGAGATTTTGGTAGTGGGGCAGCTACAGGGTGGCTACTGTGAGAAGCTGCTGGAAGTTTCCTCCGTGTCTGACAGAGCCAATGTCAAACTGCTCCATGATGGACCTGGCACTAGACAAGAGTGAGCCCATCAGCGATGGTGTGAGCACCTCCGGGTTAATATGTTTAAGAAGGGGGAAAAAAACCTGAGCAGGAGCAACTGAAGACAGAGAAGAAAGGAGCAAGACTATGTGATAGAAACAGATGCAGAAACTGCAGTCACCAACTTCAGTGAGGAAGAAGAAGGGGGAGGAAGCGCTCCAGGTGACAGAGATGAGATTCCCTTGCAGCCATAGAGATCCACGGATGAGCAGTGACCCTCACGCAGCCTGTGGAGGAGCCCCACAACGGAGCAGGTGGGTGCCCAAAGGAGGCTGTGACCCTGTCAGAAGTTTGTGCTGTACTTGGTTATTAGCAAGGCCTGTGGACCTGTGGAGAGAGGCCAAACCGGAGCAGGTTTGCTGGCAGAACTTTTGATCCCTGGGGGACCCCCACTGGAGCAGTACATGAAGAACTGTAGCCTATGGAATGGATTCCCTTTGGAGCAGTTCATGGAGGATTATCTCCCATGGGAGCAACCCCACGCTGGATCCAGGGAAGAGTGTGAGAAATTTTCCCACTAAGGAGGAAAGAGCAGCAGAGGTAACCTGTAATGAACTCAATCCCTGCTCCACGTTCCCTTGTGTCACTGGAGTGGAAGAGGTAGCAAATTCTGGAGTAAAATCTTCAGAAGGAGAAAGGGGTGGGTGAAAAGTGTTTTTAAGATTTGATTTTATTTCTTATTTTCCTATTCTGATTTGATTGGTAATAATGTAATTTTTTTCTTCCAAGTCAAGTCTGTTTTGCCCATGGCAGTAATTGGTGAGTGTTTTTATCTCAACCCATGAGCCTTTCATTATATTTTCTCTCCCCTGCCCAGGTGAGGAGGGGACTGATGAAGCACCTTTGATAGGCACCTGGAGCCCAGCCAGGGTCAGTCCACCACAGGTAGTTCTGACTCTTCAAGGTGTGTTTCTGCATAAAATGAATGTCAAATGAAGCTATACAACATGCAAAATGGTATAAAACAATCAAAATATTTTTCATCATTTGGTGGTTAAAAGTGTTTTAAGGCAACAATGTAAAAACAGCTGTCCTTCTTTAGGGCACTTCTGTCACAAATCATTTTCAATTCAATGAGTTTATACTAAATAATCAACGGTGTGTTAATGAAAAACAACAATCAGACTTTTCATTTCTGGAAGAGGGAAGCAACATCTAGTAAAGCTCCAAATAATAATAATACTGATCTAATAATATTGTTTCCATCTGCTGGTAAAAAAGTGTAAAATCAGAATGTCTCAGGGAGATACAGGCATTTCTGTATGAAGGAACCTTAACAAACATAACATGAAGCTACAAATCTCGTTAAAAGTTTTGTAGCATATCTGTGAGGAATAGGTTTGACAATCCACATATAACCTTCATAAAAATATATTTAGCTTAATACTTACTTTCATGGCCAAAAAAATAGCTTTTTTAACTCTCAGATTGATGCTTGCAGAGCATGCCAAGATTAAACAGGAGTGCAAAACAAGGCACCTTTGCTATCTGATTAAATAAATTTAATACAGGCAATCTCAGGAGAGAGTTGTACCTGACCTTGGGAAGTTTACACCTTGATAAAATGATACATCCTGCTCTGCAAGACATTTTTTTGCAGATGTGAATGAAAAGTTATATATTTTTAAGCCTGTGGATATTTTTCATAGTGAAGGCAAGACTTTAAAGCAAGAAAATTATTGCTTCCTTGATCTGATTTACGACAAAATCCTACCACTGTAGGAGTCTTTGGACTCTGTTATAGTCAAAAAAGATTCTTGCACAGAAAAAGTCTGAATCAGAGGGAAAAAAAATCTATCACTATTTAAATTGGTAAAGTCATTTGAATTTTACTATATCCACTACACTGAAACCATGTTTACCCCCAGACAGATACATTGCATTTGTGAAATTAGCTAAATGAAGGGAATTGGTCAGTTATGAAAGGTGAACAGCTTAAACGGACCTAAATTAGTGTCAGGTAAATGATACCCTCGACCTTCAAGGCGCACACAAGGCAGTTTTTAAAATGAGGACCAGGTGATTGTAGATGGTGCCACTAGATGGCAGTCCTCCAAAGAATTTAGTTCTCCGGATTTTGGTGATTAAATGAATTCAGCAAAGAATTTTAGTACAGGCTTCTTTTCAAACTTTAATTCTCTTCCTGTCTGGGGAATGTTGCTCTCAATCTAAAACTTTACTCCCCAAAATTTCTAATAATTCGTAAAGCTCAGACACCTTCAATTTCCTCAACCTCTTGGCTACCTCTTGAAAAACAGATTCTTGTCTTCAAGTCCTGCCCTCCCATAGCTTCTACAATGCACCTCTTCTAGATCCACTCCCATCTAATTCCTTCAACCTCCTGGGTATTTCAAGGGGTTCTGTCGTTTGCACTCTTCTCATTTTCCTCTACTCAGTGTCTAGCAACTTTATAGTCAAAGATACGAACAGGTTCCTTCTCCATGGTAATGAATAGGAGCATGATTCATCACTCTGTTCTGCACCAACAGAAATATCAGATGATCTTTCTCTTAGGTATGTCAAGCTACCAGTTCTAGCTCAGCAAGGCTGAAAGGTAAGGTTCTAATGAGCCTTGGCCTTTTCAACCTTCATGACCTCTCCACTACTTTCTTTCTTCATTCACTATGGCTAGTACAGACTCAGAACACAGGTGATATTCACAGCATTCTAAAATTAAACGCTTTTTCTTATCTCTCTACAAAACTAATGTCTGGTATCTAATTTCATATCTTGCTTGCTGTACCATCAATTTCTTTAGCCAAGACAAGCATCACCTTGTTCTGTTCACAGTAATTCAAACTGCTATTGCAAAGACCATAGTTACTTCCTTGGAACACTACTCTGTCCTTTGAAGTAACAAAAAAATAAAAGCTAATTCAAATACAAGATGCTCTTCTGCTTTAAAAGCCTTCACAGACTTTCCTTTTTTGTCATCTCCAAAACAGTAAAATGATAAGTTCTACTTTTGTGACTTCTAACTCCATCACTGACTTCATATGTTCGGGGGGGTTCTTTTCTGAACACCTTTTCGCTACCCACCCTTACACAGCCTCTCACACTCCTGAGAGCCATTGATTTATTGTCTCAGAATTTCCTTAAATTCTCTGCCACCATGTTCTGCAAAACAGTTAATGACTGGGTTTCTGGTATGCTGAGACCCCTGCTTAAATGCTGTTTAATGTCCTTATTAATCATTGCGCTGTCAACGCCAAGGCCTGGGTTTGATTCCTGGTCAGGGACACTCCCCAAGCAGATGGAGCTCGTTAGCCCTTAAAGCAATCCATCTACGTCCTGAGGACCTCGCTGCCACCGTCCAAGCTCGCTTGGCCCCGGCAGATGAACTTGAGG